GTAAAAGAAGATTCTGGTAAAAAACATGCTTCTCACAATCATTTTCGAACTCATGATAGACAAGAGCATTCTCGAATTCGAGAACGCATTAGGGATCGTGAACGTGAAAGAACACGTGGCAGTCGTCTAGATAATGAACTCAAAAGAAACCGACGAGGAAGCAGTGGCAGTCCATTTGCAAGTCATTCAACTAATCGACCTCGTTCTCCTCTTACGGGATCACGTTACCGCAGACCTAGTAAGTTCATTGTTTTATTTCTTTCATTAAGATATTGAGTAACGCATCTCGTTATGTAATATATTGTCGAACACCAAATATTTAAACATAGGATAACTCTTTTGCTGACGCTAATAGGGGCTGTTTTATTTATCTTTTTAAGTAATATAGTTAATTATGTGAGCTTTTAGATTTCTTTTTTCATGATCATATTTTAATTAATCAGGTCATTATAATATTGTCTTAAGTACTAGGTTTTTTGATTTCTTAATGCGTTTTTAAAATGTTATTGTGTTTTGTAGGTCCTCCAAGCTCTCGAACTGGCCCTAAACGACCTAGGTCCCATAGTCCTAAAGCAAAATTACAATCAACTTCTGGTCGAGGTGATAAAAAACCTGGAGATGTTAACCGTCGTGATAAGAAAGCATCTTCCCGTTCATCGTCTTCGTCTTCTTCCAATTCAGGATCATCTTCTTCCTCCTCATCAAGTTCGAATTCCGGTTCTAGTTCATCCTCTAGTTCAAGTTCTTCTCGCTCACATTCTTAAAGGGCTCGCCGTTCTTAAATTTCGCCATAGATCCTATGATGAAATGAACATGTTTTTTTAGGATGTCTGCATTTCTCTGTTTGCACATAACTGTCAAGTGTATTTTAATACTTTTAATCTTGTCGAAATTACACTTGTTTTGAATTTACATTTACTTCATGAAGTCATTTATTAGTTTATTAGACGGATGCTTATGAAGCACGACTTACGTCTTATAAGCAGATTTACATGGTGGCTAGCAGTGGAATCCAGGATGCGTGTTTTGTCCTATTTGGGCCTCGCTATTTGGATGTGCCTTCATCACAAAGTTGGTGTTCACTCTGGGACTCAAACCCAATAGCGTTTGCTTCAAACATCACGTTATCCAATTGGCTACTTATATCAGAGAACCATTTGCTTATGCGATAGAGTGGCGCTTAATTCATGTATATTGGTTGTTTGAATCATCCCATTGATGCTCAGGGCTACAATTGACCAGTCTCTAATGCACTTTATATACATATTGTAGTAAAATTTTACGCCAATTTACGTGTTTATTGCTTATGTGATTTCACAGTTTTGTTTGTGGTGCGTTGACCTTATTTACCTACGCCTATTTACCCCTTTCAAAGGAGCATAGGCTGCCCATTCGGGTTCTCCATCGAACTCTGTCCTAAACAGGCCTTTATAGTTGCTATTCATTCTTTTGATTCGTGCTTCCAATTTCCGACGCAATGGTTTTCCTCTTTTCCTTTCCCCTTCAAGATTCCAAATTAGGGTTTTACTCTTGATGCAGTTTGATGATTTTTGCAATTAATGTACTATTAGTGACTTCATCAAGTTTCCAAAGAAAGGAGATCTGAGCAAAAGTGAAAACTACAGAGGCATTACACTACTGTCAGTACGAGGGAAAGTCTTTGATAGAGAGTTGCTGAACCGGATGAAAGACGCAGTAGAGCATTAGCCAACAAATCCTACCCACCCCCAGCATCTTTTCGTAATTTTCAGTTCAACTGAAAGTCGGCTGGTTCTTAGCCATTTCCGGTTGTTGCTGATGGTATCTAGCCCAAGGACATTGAGTATCTCGTGTAGACAATTGTTTATACATACTTGTACCTTTAAGATGGTGGTCGTAGTTCTCCACGTATCTACTTCTTACAGTAGAACTGTCTTTACGTTCGTATTGACTTGTGGCTCTGGTTTAGAATATTTCACTGCCAGTTGCTTTGTTGTGTCATATAGTAGTTGTCTCATATTTCCTTGTGTTGCAGTTTTTTCCACTGTCATTGCTGAGTGTTCCACGTATTTCTGCTTGTTGGCTGTAATGCTCCTGTTCACTCTCTTGTCTGGTTCTGTGTATTCAGTCTATGCCCTGAATTTTTCTGTTGTTGCTAATTGTTATCTCCTTGTTCTTCCTTTCTTGAATCCTGTCCAAGGTATCAATAAAGATCTGTTCCTTATGATGATGCTTGTTGCGGCCTAGAACCTGTTTGAACTCTGGAGTGAGTGCATCTTTGATCCGTTTCCAGTTGTTGTCCATCGTAGTCTGATGTTGTTTGAGTAGATGCTTTAGTACTTGTAACCTGTTGTTGAGTTTGTCAGTACGTCGAAGGAAGGCTGTATTGAACCTTTGTAATGCTGTTTCTCCAGTTGTCCAGTAGTTCTTTAGCTTGAGTTTCATCTTGGTAACCACCAGGTAGATGGTGATCTGAAGGTATGCAGCTCGTTTCTTTGCTCTCAAGTCTTTCATTGATCTGAACTGTTTATTGACGCAAATATGATCGATCTGGTTCTGTGTATTGTGATTCTCCGGCTAGACCCATGTAGGTTTGTGTATACGTTTGTGGAGGAATACAGTAGCACGTACAACCATTCAATTGAATGCAGATAAATTTGCAAAGATCTCACCATTTCAACCCCTTTCTCTCAGTCAGTCCATGTCGTTGCATAATATCTTCATAGTGAGTTTAGTTCGATCCGACTTTGCATCTAAGTATCCAATCAGGATGGTTAGGTTCTTTCGCAGTCACTTCTCTACGATCGACTGAAACCTCGTGAAGCTGATGTTTATCGCCTTTATTGCTATCATTGGTGAGTGCACATTACTGGATAACATTGATTGTGGTCACCTCGTTCTATGTTTCGAAGAATGCTTTGGTGATTCTGGATCATGAGATACTCATTGTATGAGTGCTTTTCGTGCTTCTTTGAAGGGCATCAGTGCAACTCCTGTGTGCAATTCATACGGAAAATACAAGAACATCTCTTTCAAACCTAATTCCTTCAGTTTTTTTGCGTACGATGGGTTCATTACCACAGCTATTTGATTGACCTTTACAGTCCCCCACATTGTCCGGACATTCCATGTGCCTACATTGGTTGTCGCTCTGGACGTTATAAATGGCATTGGCTTTCACCATGAAGCGTCATAATCCTTATGAAGGAAGATCCTCCAACTCACACGTCACAGTGTAGATGGTTGATATTATTTTTCTTGTTAGCATATTGTAGCAAGTTTGTTTCCCATGGGATGGGGTTTCGGACCACATGCCCAAGTTTCCTCTCTTATGCGGGCTTGCGACTAGCGGTAACCCTGAAAGAGCTACAGGCGGAGTTGTGGTGCATATAGGTAGGATGAAAAATTTATTGAAAGCATTTTAGAGAATGTACTATACTTAAGTGCTACATTGATTAGTGGTGTATAAGTGTTTTTTATGAGAATGAAGTCTGGTAGTAAGTAAACGATGAACTGAGAAGATAAACTACTGAAATAAAATATTTATTACTGCACTTCTAATTATCAACTTCATTGTAAACACAGAAAAAGTACAAGTGTAGTAAGCTAAGGATTTATTTTCATTTTACGCTGTTTTTTTAGGTCATCAGTTTATAAATTGGTGGTACAAAATACTCGTCGCATTTCTCAAATAAGTAACCGTGAACAAACTCAGGATGAGTAGGAGTTTTGAATGTGGTATTTCAAGCAGAAGTTTCCCAAACTTCAATATCGTGAACGCATGTAAAGTTATCATATTTTGTTTAGAATGAAGCGAGCAGCGATTTACAAAGCAATTATAATTCTACATGAACATCACCGCTTGAATGAAGATCTGACTCAAACTCCATTCCGACAGAACATGATGTTATTTCCTTCCTCTAAAATTATAGTTTGCTCATCAGGTCTGTGATGATTGCAGTTAATTCACCCACAACGCCGAATCACCGTGTTCAAGTATCTACCACAAATATATAACCGTAAATCAGCCACTATTAGGATGCTCCAGTGCACGGGTTCTTGTCGGCTGCTTCTGACAGTTCTCATGTCACTCAAGAGTTTAGTCGTTTTCTCGCATTATCAACGTTTTGTTTAGGCTACTGATTCTGTTTGAAGTAACTGCAGCCATTCATAAAAGAAACGTGCATCTATTACGTGTTTTGCGAAATCTCGTGAAGTAACATTCAAGTATCGTGTACGATGTTGCGTGCGTGGTAGATATATCCATTTTGTAGAGGGTTATTCAGTTGATTTACGTATCATATCAGTTAGTTTTCACATTTTGAAACGAAAGTCATCCTTAAGCGTTAAACTAAATGAATTTTAGCGGATTTAGTGTATCAGTAGATGTGATATTGAAACACCGCAGGTCTGTCATTAATTTAAACATATGTTAAGCTATCGCTAATTTAATTTGTAAGTTTAATAGTCACTGGTAAATTAGTGAAGTATCTAGACCATGTGTATGTGCAGAAATTTCTTCAGGAAAGACTAGTAAACAATCTTTTTCAGGATAACGATACCTAGAAGATGATGGTAGTGTGCATTTTTCGCTAGTTTGTCAACATTATTTTCTTTTGCCTTAAATCCTTTTCACGTTTTTTCTGAAGTGGGTTTTACATCAGCCACTTGAAATTATTGTCTCAGGACAGCATTCTATCTAGATGCATCCCGTTAAAATCATGAAGAAAGTTGTGTCTACAACTTCATAACGAAACATATCTATTCTGAGAATCTAAGTCATCTAGGTAATTCATGAAACAGAATATATCGTTGTGTTTTGAAATTCTTAGACGATTGGATTTTATAATATGACTACTAATCTAATCAGCAAAGCAACTAAGCACACCTTCCAGCTCAATCAATAGTCCATGTGCTCTTCACTTATTGTTCATACTTCTCTTAAAAGCTCAGTAACTTACACGGAATAAGTGAAAAATATTAGATAGAAATTAAGCCCATTCGAAATTAAAATCAAGATTTTCAGTACAGATATTTATTGATAGTCCTTGAGCAATCTTAACAACTTTACGAAATTTAATAAGACTATAAGTTATTTACACAAAATAACACCTGTCATACAATAAATTATAAAAATAAAAACTTGTACGAAGTGTTACCCTGAAAAACAGGAAACAGATAAGAGAAGAAACATTCAAACAAAATTTACTAAACTCAGTTACATAATTTGTTCATTCTGTAATAGTAATATAATTTAAGGCCATAAGTCCGCCTCTTTCATTTTATTGATGAAATAACGTTCTAAAGTATTAGCACTTCTATAAAGATAAGAGTCTTGTTGATTATAAGTACGACAATTATGAAACATTCGCATCATATCAGCAATAAACAAGGATTTCGTAACGTAATAATTCGATTTTAAACGTTCCCACATTGTGCCTAAATCTGTAAAAAAAAAGATATGAGTAAAAAGTTAGATTATTTTTCTAAAAGTACCTGACACATTTTTATTTTAGTTTAAGTTAAAAATCACCAGTGATTAGTTGCATTATAATCTCATTTTTCAGAACTTTTCCAATTTAAATTGGCTGTTAAAACAAAACCATGTGACAATTAAAAGTATGTAGAAGTAACCATGATATCTCAATAAAAATCAGGTATTTAAGAAAGTTTACCAAGAAATGAGTTTGCATAGTAGAAGTAGGCCGTATTCATATTTTAGTCATATAGTTTGTATAAAGCCTACTAATACTATCCGGTTGCCTAATACCAAACAGAGGGGAACAGGGTTTGAAGCTACAATCTACTAGTTAATAAGCGTGTTTTATTTACTAAATAACCAGTTACTTGATCACTTTGTAAAAATGAATTAAATTGAAAACTTAATTGTAAGAGTAGTCAGATGATATATCATATATATCGAAATCTGATTGAAATTTCTCAGAGTAAGGTCAAAATTTTCCTTCAACAAATGATGATCAGTTGTAGTCTATATTAAAAGGCAAAAGAATATAACGGTAGCTAATCTTATGTCAACTAGTAACAATAACTGTATTTTATGTTGATGATATCTTTAATTGTAGCCTAGAGAAACATCTGTTTTCATTGTACAAACAGGGCTAATGTTTTCCAGGCTTCTAAATTCAAAATATAATAGAGAACCTTTAAAATGAATATGACAATATCCAAAAACACAAACGATAACAATAGAACTGTTTTACTCAAAATATCAACCATTATTTTTTTCATGTCATGTAACATGACAATATTGGATATGTTAGTTATCGAACGTGACTTGAAATGATAGATACAAATAGTTATTCATAAAAGGTAAGTATATATACAATAAATTTCTATTGAAAATCTAACAAACTGTAAGTACAGATAGACTATGCGCCTAGATTTAGTTATTGAAGAATGACAATGGAGCGACTTCTTTATTTTCAAGTACCTACAAATATGTCGAATCGGTAACATGCCATACAGATAGGTTGTTCTCCTCCAGTGTAATAAAAAAAATTCGATCAAGTGAGACAATTTGAATAGAAATTTTCAGATTGAAATCATGAGTCAGTTGAAGCTAGACCATTATTGAAAACCTGGATGCTGGCTCAGTGGTCTAGTTGGTTAAGCGCCTGGCGCAAGACCGATAGGTCCTGAGCTCGAATCTCGCGGGGTGCGGGATCGTGGATGCGCACTGCTGAGGAGTCCCATACTAGGACGAAACGGTAGTCCAGTGCTTCCAGGTTTTCCATAGTGGTCTAGCTTCAACTGACTCATGATTTCAATCTGTGAAAATTTCTAAAATCTCCACAAACCCCTTCTGATAATTTGAATAGAGTTAAGAAATTATTCTCGTTAAAATGGTTAATAAAACGAGAATAATAACTCAAATTGAATAATGTGAATTCATTACAGTTCATGGATTTCTACTAAATAGTTACAATCTTAGCAGGATCTACGCTGTATAGAATTAAATAATCTACATATAAAAGTGCAAATGTTTGAACTATTATTAAGTTTGCATAAAAAATATTTTAGAAAACATAGAATGAGAATAAAACAAGAACATATGTTACTTATCACTACTAGTTTAGTAAACATAATGAGATGAATAAATTGAAATTTGTTTACCTATTGGAAAAACAATAATATCATAATAATCTGGTGCTTCATCTACTGTAACAGGTTTTTGAAAAGGACCAGCCAATATATGACTACGTAATGCATTTAGGATAGGACGAATTTTTTCTGCTAATTGTTTAGCTTCTTGTATCCAAACAGGTTCCAATGAATCTGATCTAAATAAATTATAATTAATAATTGGTTAACTAAAAATAAGTGTGATTTAAATGTAATTCAAAAAGTTAAGATTGTTTTCTTGAAGGAAAAATTGACGGCTGACTAGGAGAAGATAATATATAACTGAACTATTAAACCACTAAATAAATGATTGGCTAAGATTTTTTTAAAAAAAACCTTTAAACTTGATTAGGTTTCTTGAATTATTTTAGTGTTATTGGGTTCTCTGAGCTAGATCCCTTATTTGTGGGACTTTTACTGTTGTTCCAAATATCATTAACGTTTTTCTTATGTAGCTGACTTTGATTTTTATTTTAAACAAGTAGAAAACATCCATGTTCATGAAAAAATGAGGTATCTTGATTAACTGATTTTTTTAACGTCTATACAACTGTTATAGTGTCAAGTAGGGATTTGAAATTCACTCATTTTGAATCACAACTGTTGCAAAACTGAACAATCAGCTAACCGACAATAATATCAAGCTAATCCCACTTAGTTATCTCTAGCAGAAGCTTAAGTAACGAGAGTTCAGTTGTATCAATAAACAACTAATTTAATAGAAAACACATGAAAACTGTGAAGACGATTCGTAAACTTAACTGTGGTCATGATTTTGATTACAAGAGTAAAATATTCTTGTAATCAATATTTTCTTTATCGATAGTACTTATTTTAAGACTAAGTACTACAGTAATATGAACAGTTGTATCTATATTTTTTTGTTCTCTTTTTAGTCTAAGACATTGCCTTATTCCATGTTTATAATCCTTTGTTCCGTCATCTTTTTTATTAGGATTCTCTATTAGTTCTGGCCTTATGATTCACACTTCTTTACTATTTATTGTGTTGATCTTATTTTTCTACGCTAAAACGAAATATGACGGAATAAATCACCATAAGATAAATTTAACCTTTCAAGTTTTGTCTACCGAGCAATCTGAAGATTAAATGATATCTTAACAATTTTAGGAATTTAATTATTATAGTGAGAAAATATGAAGTCACCACTCTTGTCTGTAATAAACTTGGCAACTAATTATTTGAGGAAAGGATTCTGAGATGACAAGAATTTTTACTGAGATTGAACATACTTATTACTTGGAAAAAAAACATTGTTACATTGGGAATTTTGTGGAATTTTTTTCACTTTTATGGTAGTGCATTAACGATAAAAATCATCTAAATATCTGAAATTCTAATATATTAGTAAATATAGCCATTTTATAAGCCGAGACGATAAAATGGTTTTAATAATTTAAATTAAAAAACGAAACGTTGTAATCGTTTGTAATTCCTATAAGTCAGCAAATTAAATTTACATTTTTACTGAGCTATTATAACGCGTTGACCTTGAACTGATTCTTGCTTTCATCTGTGGCTTTGTAGTCAACGGACTGGGACTTGGCAAAGGATCAAGTAAACGTTTGCGTAGTTTTCTCGGAGGTTCGTGTAATTTATCAGCACATTTATCAAACGTTTCTGATGATTTTCGTTTTACTGAAACATGATTATTTATGGAAGTTTGATTTGTTTCGGATAATTCTGTCTTGGGAATTTTATGAAATAAATCAGAAAATTTGTTTGAAGTTAGATCGATCTCAGTTAGACCGGGGATTTGATCTGGTCTTAAAGGTCCATTACGAAATAGTTTGGCAGGTATTCCTGGGTAGATTTGATTAACAGACTCACGACGTTTTTCTATCAACCGGGTAATAACCTATCAAATATCAAATAATTTACAATATATTATCATTCAAGTGAAATTATCAAACTCGTGTCACAAATGATGTTTTACAGATTTACAGTTCACAAGAAAATATTCACAAAACAAAATGTTTAAAGATACGGTAGCACTTCATGATAAAATCACGAAACGTAAGTTTCTTTCCTATGATACTCTTTATCAAATAATTAAGAAGGAATCATGAAAGGAAACTGCTAAATTAATGTTACAATCATATCAATTAGTTAGTGTCTCAGAAAATTGTCTTCCAAAAATACAATCATATTATACTTATACAATAACATCATACGAAAAAAAACTATTATTCTTAAAATTAGTACCATCGAATATCACAAAATAGAACACTTTCCTAAACTGAACACAGAACCTTACAAGTATTGAAATAAATAAACACGTAGAAATGACAGGTGAAAAATAAACAACCCCTTACAAACAGAATAAAAATAAACTTTTTCATTAACATAATTACAATAACTCATACAATTAAAACACTAATCGTGCATACTCAATAGTCTGTGTTAGTTAATACATGAAAGCGTAAATCTAAATTGATTTATGTATCCAGTGAATGATACACAAGAAAGCATGTTTGCAGTGCGAGTGAGCGCTTCAAATGTGGTCATTGTGGAAATGTTTCAATGTGGATGATGATTGGTGAGAGGAAGAGAAATTGTGTGCGAATCAGCACAGAACATAAACCGAAATGCAGTAGATGGTAAACTAATCGTATATGATTAATGGTTTGCTTTTTTCAAACAGACCAGTACAATTCAACAATATTCTATACATATATTCAAGTATTTAATAATGAGCCAAAATTATTATCTGAATTCTAAATGTATTTTTACAGATAATAATGAAATATTAAGTAAATGTCTTATTATTATCTTTTATAAGGTGTACCCTAGGTAATAAATACAGCTATATGACTTTCGAAAGTCTAAAGTTAACCATTCAGTAGTTTCTTTTGAATAATAGCAAATGAGATTTGATTTACACTATTTCAAAATTTACTAGGAATATGCGATGTTCAGTGGTATAGGAGTAGATTGGAAGAAAGCTAGGGGCGGCCAGACCAAAACATGTCACAAGTCCATGAAGTCACCGACAAGTGGACTGAGTCATGTTGATAGGTGTAGACTACCTGGTTAGGGACCGCGAGATGATAGCAACCGATGGTTAGAGACCCTAAATGACATGACTCAAAATCGTTTGCAATGACGCAGGTGCATACACTCTTTGTGTTCTCCCAAATTTTGATCTCCTTATTTCTCCTTGTCTCTTTTTTTTCTCTTCCCAAATTTATTTCACTGTATTATACTCTTTAAATAGCATTTCCAAACACTAATCTTCCCGATTACTGCTTATACTCTTATTACCTCTACCACTACGGGGTTTGAATTGACCACTGCATCTCTGTGGTAATGTGGTGTGGCAACTTGAACTGATGTACGTACGTATGAAGTTCTACGTTGATACTGACTGACTGACTAGGAATATGTCACTTTCATTCAATTTGGAAAACAAGTTACAATTTATATAGACTCAAGAAAAAAATGAATCAAACGGTAACAACAACAACAACAACAATAAATACCTGTTTTTGTTTTGCAATTAATTCAGAAAATCTAGTATAAATAATATTTGGATATAATTCACAACCCATTAATGTGGCACCTTCATACTCTTTAATATAACCTAAATAAGCTTGTCGAGCTAAGCGTATTTCACGTGAAAATCCTTGTTTTCTAAAATAACCAGTGGCAAATGAATCAGCATATGTAAGAAAATGAAATATTTTATGCTGTAAATGATAATCTTTTAAATGATTCATCATTTGTGTTCCATAACCCTTGAAAAAGAAAAGAGAAAATATTGTCAATAAATATAAATAAATACAATATTAGTATTATTTATTGAAATATGAAAATTATGATACTAAATAATTAAATTTCTATCAATAATAAATGAATATTGAACAGTTGAATTGCAAATATAGAGGTTTATGTTACTTATTATACAATCTAAGATTTTATAGGTAAAATATTTCTGACAAAAAAAATATACATTTTTCAATTATTGTATGATTTATTGCCACAAGTCACAAAAAATTGATTTTTGATAAATTAATTCAATTGATGTGTTTAAATTCTTTAATCAGTAATTCTATATTAATCAAGTGTTTTAGTTGATTACTATTTTTATGTTATTAACATATGACAATTAACGTCACTGGTACCAATTGCCAACATATTACCAAATTTTATGATTTACTATGATCTAATAAGATGGATATTGTATAAATGCTGTAGGTTAGTCAGTGTTGTAACAAAACAAGCTATCTATAACCTCCTTATTATATATTACGCTGAGTTTTGCTTTGTATTTAACTTTAACAATAGATAATCAATGAGCATGCCAAAAAATTTACATGCAGTACAATGTATTTGCATGAAATATTCATTGTATATCGACGGTCTCTTTAAAACTGAATTCTTGATAACACTCTCCCGAATCATAAAAATTCAGATACACGTTTCACTAGTTCGAGAATAGGCCTTATAGCACAGGTTTAGTGAAACTCGAAGATATGAAATACGCACTACTTATTGGTAGAATAGGAACAGAGTCAATAAAAAACGGAAGGAAATAATGAACATTATAAATAGAAATTAAGGAAAGAAATAAGTAGATGAATGATAATGATGTATTGGAGATCTAAAACAAGATACGGATTAAATATTACCTGTGATATATATGATCGGTTTTGGGTATTAAATTAAGTGTCTACAACTATTGACTGATTTATAACCTAGATGACAGTTAAGTAAGGAATAATTTATTACGCAGATAACATCAACTGTGATAGGATTCGCGATTCATTTAAATTAAATCCTACTCAGGCCAGTACAGCAGATTATGCTAGGTCGTTGGGCATATAGACCACATTCTATACTGAATTAATATTGGCACTACTCATTTGGAAATTCTACGGTTTTAACATAAATGATCAATGCGAAGTTATCAATGAGATTTTGGGGAAATGTCTAAATCTCCCACAAAATCATTTACCATTCTACTTTGAACTAATTACTTCTTTGTACTAGTTATCGCTTCTTTTATCATCGTTATGAAACTTGTTTATGTTACTGGTTACGACGAAGCATAAATAAGCAAATTTTCACATTCTATAGTTTAGAAACAATACTACTTAGAAGCTGATAAGTAAATAATGTACTGAATTTCAATTTATATATATATATATATATATATATATATATATATATATATATATATATATATATATATATATATATATATATATATATATATATATATATATATATATATATATGACTTACTTTTACTTGTTCATTGAAAATTACTGCACAAAACACTATTTCCGTAAATCCCTGAGATGGGAACATGCGAAAGCAGATCCCGCCGATAGCATGTTTTTCACATGAATCCGAAACTTTTAACAAAATAAGATTTTTGTGTTTTCTGTATATACATGTGAAATAAATGAAACAAAAGACTAAACATAAATGAAAGTCACCAGTAATAACGATTTGTATGCACCGAACATATTATACATCGAAGTGGAAAGTCACGATATGGTAATATATATACTAATAACTTGGTTGATAATTAATCACATGCTTGATCATAGATGTCTTCGAAACATTGCTCGTATATCCTGACACCATCGAGTAAGTAAGGCAGTTGTTAGGAAACGGGTACTAGGTAAGGATGGCAAATCAATTGATGAAGTGGTGAAACTTGATCAGTTGAGATGGCTGGGACGTGTTACGTGTTACGTATGCCCAACCACCGACTGCCTCGACGTGCGATGCTCAATGGTATAGCAGTGTGGTGCGTGCTACTTATATTGATATAAGTAGTATATAACGTGCGTCAAAAGAACGTAATGTCTGGCAGCGGAAGATGGCGAAGATCAAGAAAGGTAGAACGAGAACACAATGGAATTTGTAAGAAATCGCATGAACAATGAATTGTGAGACAATAGATTGATGTTTGCAACAGCAACAGTCCGGTTTTATATGATGAAATGGTATTTTGCAAATTAACGGTTTACTATATGGTTTTTCTATTTTACCAAGTAACTCTGTAATTTGTGCTAAATACAATTTGGTTGTCCTCACCTGTGTTCTCCTTCACTACAGCAGTAGGTTGGAAGAAAGCTAAGGGCAACCAGACCAAAACATGGTACAAGTCCATGAAATCACTGACAAGTGGACTGAGTCATGTCGGTAGGTGTAGACTACCTGGTTGGGGACCGCGAGATGATAGCAACCGATGGTTAGAAACCCTGAATGACATGGCTCAAAATCGTTTGCAATGACACAGGTGTATACACTCTTTGTGCTCTCCTAAATTTTGATCTTCTGATTCCTCCTTGTCTCTTTTTTTCTCTTTCCAAATTTATTTCACTGTATTATAATCCTTGAATAACATCTTCAAACCCTAATCTTTCTGATTACTGCTTATACTCTTACTACCTCTACCACTACGGGATTTGAATGTACAACTGCATCTCTGTGCTAATGTGGTGTGGCAACTCGAGCTGATGTATGTACGTACTAAGTTCTACGTTGTTACTGACTGACTGAATCACATACTGATTGACAAGTTTTACATGATAATTCATGTAAACAAAACAATAACATTCCTACTTAAATATCTTTTTATACCGTCGTAAGAGGTTAATTGAGCGAATTGTTTAGAGTATAATAATTAAACATATGATTATAACAGAACCTTTACGACTTCTGATTACACATTTCACTCTTGTCACATTGGAAGACTACAATTTTGCTAGTTGGAAGAGTAATCGCAAATATAAAATAACATTTGACTATATCAAACTCCGACTAAAAAAAGACTTGCTGTATGAGAAATAGTACTACGAATAGACTGTCTTAACTCTAAACAATGACGCTGGATTGTGATCCAATAGTTGAAAGAAGAATCTTTAAACCACTTAGATACCTCTAGAAAATTATTTTAAGAAGTACATAAAATTATAAGACATTTCAGTTAAATCATTCAATATTGGAATTTATGAATAATAGTTTAGTTGACAAAAAAGATTATATCTTTTAAAATAGTTGAGTCGGGAAAACAACCCATCATAAAAAGTAAAAAAAAACAATAATTGTGAATATCACGTATACAAACTTACGGGTCAAAAATAAGTCGTGCAATGTATTCCTTCGGCATACGAGGTAATTGCAAAGCAAATACATTTAATAACTCCAAAAGCCAAATATATGTTTGCGGAGGTTGATTAGGATTTAAACTATTATTAACTATATGAAATTCAATATTCCCAGCTGATTCTTCTTGACGTGCAGCGGCATCTCTTGTTGCATTTAACGAATGAAGCTAACAGGTTATCAAGAAAGAAAGAAACAATCTACAATTGAATAAATAAACCAATTAAGCATTTCACCACTATAACAAAACAGATGAGCAATTTATTTCTACAAGAGGTTGTTATTATTTACAATACACAATACAAGCAAATAAAATATTTCTGTATGCTGAATTCATGAAAGTGGATATTCAACACCATTTCGAAGTTATGATTTTTCACTGAGTATCTGAGTTTGAGTGATTGATTTTAAAAAAAAACTAGTACATGTGTGCTTTTACACAATCATTAACGAGAGAGGTGTGTAAATATCAATTAATTTGTAAAATACTAACATTGTCCAACAATATATGAATTTTAGTGCTGACTTCTTTTAAGATATAAATGAGTAATATTTTTGGATGATGACTAATGATACTAGTTATATAGTTAGTGAATGGAATGTGTTTGAAAGCAAGACTCCAGTCAGTCAGTCAACAACGTAGAACTTTGTACGTACGTACATGACTCGATTAAATATTTATGCACTAAGAACACAAATATAATCATAATTTATTGTGCACGATATTATCAAGTATGGCTGTAACAGGAAATCAAAAAATGAACACAGTATATGAAAGATTTGATCATTCATGTTTTCTTTGAGTTTATTCATTACTGTTAACTCTGTAGAGTTCCCTTACAAATAAAACATTAAAATAGTATTTGTGTATAGATGAGGAGAAAAAAAGATATGAATACCCAGAACAAATTTTAAAAAGAACAATATAAGAATAAAGTTTGAAGTTTACCGTTTGAAAAGGATAAAATCCTTTACAAGGGCTTTCACTGTTTTTCATTTCTTGTAGAATTTGTTCTAATTCTGTACTACTAACATCTGAAATATTTAACTTATCATTCAATGACTTTTTAGTATTGCTATCGGTGACCACAGTTTTGTCTTCTGATTTACAGTTCGATTTTTCTGAATCACTCACGGAAGATTGTGTATTAATCGATAATTGACTTCGAAGACGTACGCCTAAATGTTTATTTTATGATTAAAAATAGAAAAGAAATAACAATTAGCCTGGATGCAGTACAGAACAAAAACTTTCAGCAGCTCACATAATAACGTTTTCATTAACAGTTACAGAATGAGATATATCTATATTTCACAATAGTTTTTTTTAAAATCCAAGACAAAGTGAGAGTTTCCATCCATATCAACAAGTAACGTTGAATTCCACCAAAAACGACTGTATATGAAAAGAGAAAATACTTGTTTATAATCGAACTAGGTACACAAAAAAACTACAGAAATTCAAACATGTATTCAAATAAGTTCAGTGATGCAGTGTACTTTGTTCATGAAGAAGAAAATGCATTGCACACACAAGGAGTTGCACTGATGCTCTTCAAAGAAACACGAAAAGCACTCATACAATGGGTATCTCATGATCCAGAATCACCAAAGCATTCTTCGAAACATAGAACGAGGTGACCACAATCAATGTTATCCAGTAATCTGCACCCACCAATGACAGCAATAAAGGCGATAAACATCAGCTTCACGAGGTTTCAGTCGGTCGTAGAGAAGTGACTGCGAAAGAACCTAACCATCCTGATTGGATACTTAGATGCAAAGTCGGATCGAACTACACTCACTATGAAGATATTATGCAACGACATGGACTGACTGAGAGAAAGGGGTTAAAATGGTGAAATCTTTGCAAATTTATCTGCATTCAATTGAATGGTTGTACGTGCTACTGTATTCCTCCACAAACGTATACACAAACCTACATGGGTCTAGCCGGAGAATCATAATACACAGAACCAGATCGATCATATTTGCGTCAATAAACAGTTCAGATCAATGAAAGACTTGAGAGCAAAGAAACGAGCTGCATACCTTCAGATCACCATCTACCTGGAGGTTGCCAAGATGAGACTCAAGCTAAAGAACTACTGGACAACTGGAGAAACAGCATTACAAAGGTTCAATACAGCCTTCTTTCGACGTACTGACAAACTCAACAACAGGTTACAAGTACTACAGCATCTACTCAAACAACATCAGACTACGATGGACAACAACTGGAAACGGATCAAAGATGCACTCACTCCAGAGTTCAAACAGGTTCTAGGCCGCAACAAGCATCATCATAAGGAACAGATCTTTATTGATACCTTGGACAGGATTCAAGAAAGGAAGAACAAGGAGATAACAATTAGCAACAACAGAAAAATTCAGGGCATAGACTGAATACACAGAACCAGACAAGAGAGTGAACAGGAGCATTACAGCCAACAAGCAGAAATACGTGGAACACTCAGCAATGACAGTGGAAAAGGCTGCAATACAAGGAAATATGAGACAACTACTATATGACACAACAAAGCAACTAGCAGTGAAACATTGTAAACCAGAGCCACAAGTCAATACGAACATAAAGACGGTTCTACCGTAAGGAGTAGATACGTGGAGAACTACGACCACCATCTTAAAGGTACAAGTATTTATAAACAATTGTCTACAAGAGATACTCAATGTCCTTGGGCTAGATACCATCAGCAAAAGAGGGAGACCAAATAACATAGTGTATCGGGAATCGGAGGCAGACATCAAAAGAATGAATAGCACTTGGAAAAAACTGGAAAGGATATCACGGGACATAGTTGGTTGGATAGTCTTGGTCAGTGGCCTGTGCTCCACACTATGGGTAACAGGTGTTATGTTTTTTTCAATATGTCACGATCTGAGTAGAATACATACTTCATCTACATAATTAACCATTATAATGAGCGTTAATTTTCTGTCATACGACAAAATACTCGTAAGCGCTGAAATCCAGAAGCTTGTACGCGCCGATCTAAGGTCGAAATAAAGGAGGGTGTCTACTGAAACGTCTATACATCTACCAGTTAAACTACATCGTGCAGCTAACGAGTATACTAATTTGCTGTCAGTTTCCTAATTTATTTCAGCAGACTTTTAAACGAGAAGGTTAGAGAAAATGTGGTACGCCATACTGACACTAAGGGACGCCCTTTTTTTAACGTCCAAGACCCCTAGATTTTAAACGTTGTGTTATAGCAAAAGAAGAAACTGACAAGGTGAGCGGGTGGGGCATGGTACAACCTTCAATCATCCCATGTGGATAGATACGCTATACCGCACATTCATAATTACAACAAAAACATGGTTGGTAATATTATTTTCACCAAAACTGACTTAGTCCGAAATATCACTACATCTCTGTAGCGCCAAAACAAGTTCCAAAAATAGCGATTACAACACTGCTTGGTTTATTCAAACTTGTAAGAATTCTGTTTGGATTATCTAACGCAGAAAACTTCTAGGTGGTTTATAGGTATCAATGCCAAGGATGGACTTGATTGCTTCAAATAAATTGAGCATTGGTAGAAGGGTAATAATAAATGTATTTTTTGTTATAACCCAATGAGTAGAAAAATTGTATTCCTGACTATTTAAACTTGTGTTGATTTATTTCGGTTATTTATTTACTCTGAAGAAGCGGCTTATGTTAAGTCACGAAACGTCAGAAATATAATTTTTCTACTCATTGGTTCACAACAGAAAAATATATTTACTATTTTGAAAGGTATATTGACCAAGTACATCATGGACTGTCATTCGCACAAGCCTATATTAGCTATAGACTACAAGACTCAATCCAAGATAAACACCCTATAGTATGTTTAGTCGGGAATTGTTGATAATCTATCTATCAAACATTTTTGATACATAATAGAAAACATACAGTTCATGGTTTGTACCGATTATAGGCAGTAGTAAATAGTCATACCAATTATTCTCCAAGAAAATTAAAACAACTCGATTTCATTGCAGTTTACTACCCACATATAATATGTAAAAGGGAAAGAAAACAACTGTGTAGATGGATTATCAAGTACAGATATAAACGTTTTCACAATCCCTGACACAAGTTATCAAGAAACGATAAAACCTCAAAAGCTCAATAATGAGTTAAATAGACTTTTGGAACCTAAGAAAACAACGTTAACATTTCGAAACTTTCCTGCGAATTAAAATAAAGCAATGACTTATGATATTTCGACAGGTAAAACTCGCCCCCTTGTACCCTACAGTATGAAATGAACTATTTTTGAAAAATTAAACTTATCTTACTCAGGTATTAGAGCAACAGTAAAGCTTATTACAGATTAATTTGTATGGTCAAATACAAATAGAGACTCACGAAAATGAGAGGGAGAATATATATAGTGCCAAAAACTCAAGATCCACAGGTACACCATGTTGTCTACAGGAGTCTTTCCCTCACCAAAAGCAAGGTTTGATCATACTCATATTCAGGTTGTGGGATCGCTACCACTTTTGAGAGGGTATACACACTTGCTAACGTATATCGACAGATTTACTAGATGACCCGTAGCTATTCACTGAAGAACATGACAGTAGCAACAGTGGTAAGAAAACTGATGCACTGGATAGCAAACTTTGAGGTCTCATCAACGATTACGACTGGCAGTGGTGCGCAAGTTAACTATGACTTTTGTCCATTCTACTCGTGTAATAACCGGCCTTAGACATCAGGGTGTCACACTAAGCTTAAATTCAGCAATGATAATTCCATGACTTGAATAGACATGATCAACAGTTGACACAAAGACTTCGAATGGCAGTTTGTTTGATTTATGGCAAGTGAATTATAATTTTCAGTCATTTAGGAAGCCTTTATAGAAACATAAATGTTGAAGTGTTTTGTTTGGTACTGATCAAAAAGAAGTATTGTAATGAACGAGAACTCAGGCGAGGAAAACCAATTTATTGTTTAATGAAAAAACCACACAGTGGCTTAGTAAAATGTGAAAATCATACATTAAATACATCATTTACACATCTCTGCGTTGTCCTTTACATGTTCCATTATTTCTCTAGTCCCGTTATTATTTTGATTGCTCTCCGATTATCGTCCTGTTCACTTCATTTCAACTTTCTGCTTCCAGGCATTTCCACTTATGACTATTACTAAATACTACTCATATCTGTCAGTATAAGTAGCACAAACCATAGTATGCTTACAAGTAAAAACATATCAAGAGACCATTCTTTTCAATTGTATCCCGAAATACTGCTTGGCATCGCACAACTTTGCTTTACAAGTGAGTCCAAGGGTTTAACGGATAAATTGTGTTCTTTAGGTCTCTATAGAACTATTTGCTAATGATCCGGCAATACCAACAATAGGAATATTAAGAATAAAGATATTTAAACCCACTAAAACTACACAATCTCCAAACAGGAAATAAGATGAATGAAAATCACAGACTAGAGATTGGGCTTAAAGTCAGATCAGGCATAAAGATTCCAATAAAAAAGTGACTGTCTTCAATGAAAATTTACAAACACTTACTTGTTCTTCGGTGCGTTGTATGATCAGTCATTTTGGCAGGTTTTGTAAGTGACTCTTCAGGTTCAGACTTAATAGGTGTATTAACTACCATATCCTTATCACCATTCACCAAATCTGAATTACTAAACAGTTTCTCTGATTTTAGATCAGTGAGAGCCGGTGTAACAACTGAATCACTTTTCAGTTCACTTGAACTACTGATGATTATATTACGTTGATGTGTAGAGAAATCGACCACGTGGTCAATAGAAATCGACTGTAATAATCCGCTTGGTGTAATTACATTGTCGGGACGCAATGGTGGTTGGAAATACGGATCCCAGACGGAAGTTGTTTTGTCCTCAACATTATCTTCCAGCAAATTACACAATCTGAATAGAAAATAATTAGAACGGGAATGAAGTACCAATGAGTAGGATAACACTAAAAATTTAAGAACAACAAATGATTACTAGTTACCGTGTTAAAGGTTGTATTAAATGTATCTTTGCATCTAGCATAGATGGGATTATAGAATCTTGTTTGAAAAATTCCATTAGTCTTCTTTTAATTTCAGGCAAAACGGCTAACAAGAAATTCTTTCCAAATGCACATGTAGCCTCAGTATATGGTAAGGCATTACAGAACTTTGGTACATAACAGTGGCATATCCACCTGAAAGGAGTCAAATAAGTATATATACATACAATACAAAATACCTCATATATATTAATTTGTATCCTGTTTTATTTTCATACTTCTGAATCCTTTGACTTGGATATGTGATCTTATATGAATTCACATATGCTAGGAATAATTTACACAGTTCAATTGTTATTTCTGGATTTTGAGGATTGGTGACAGCACAAAATAATAACGCGTTTCGTACAGCCTTTTAAAAGTTGGAGAATCAAGTGGAATTCACATTTTGTATACTTACCGTATTGATATCAGGTCGCTCAAAAGGAGGTTTGTCATCAAAAACGGGTTGTACTTTATTCATTAACGCCTTGCGAAGGCGCTAGAAATGAGATTGGAATGATGATTGTAAGATGTCTTACCTTTAAAATACAGAAATATATATTTCTTGTTTCATAATCTTCTTCCTTGGTACATAAAATATACATTCGTTCCACATCGTCAACCATTTGCATTGCGCTATTAAGCCATGTGTTGTCGTTTGGATCAGACAAGCTATAATGAACATGACAGCAATTTTCACATATAGCTTCAACAAGTTTTTCATCTATCGCACTGTCTGAGAGCTTCCATGTACTACATTTGCAACCTTCATTCTGCGATCATATATTTCTAAAAGATTACTCATGTACTTACTCCGCATTTAGAATAAGGTAGATATCTTGACAACTTTTGGTATAAAGTCGAATTATCCATGCTCAGATTATTGCTTTCTATAGGATCAACATTTGTCCGCCATCACTAATTGTCAAATGTACTATCCAAAGTTCATGGACATTTGGAATAGAGAACTTCGAGCTGTAAAATAAAGTCTTCTTATTCAACATAGACAAAATACTTGAATAGTGACAAGAAAACTATCAAAACCTAACAAACCCAGTAAAGAAACAACTTTACAGAAACCTTCCGACACAATTAAGTGCAAATAATCGCGAATACTCACCATATTATGCATTTCTAGGATGGAAACAACATGGAATCGATTGCAAAGTTGACAAACACTAGTACTGAAGAGTACTGGTTTCTGAATTACCTTTAAATAACTAGTCATCAAAATGAATGTCAATAACTTCAAAAAGACACTGTAGTGCCTTTTGCACCACACTGAGAACGCAGGCGTACTACATGAGATAATTTGTTGCTGACTGAATTTAGAACTGGGCGGCAAAATAAACTACAATGAATTTGAGAGGAGCGACGATGCGTCCTAAAATAAGCCACAATTATTGACTTGTGTACATTCGTAGGACACTTCTAGTGCTCCTTGGTAAATCCGGTACAAGATCTCAGAAAGCATTTATAATGCGACCAGCATCTCTAGTGGTCTAACAGCTATTTGTCCTCGCATCGTTGCCCCTAAGTTTAGTGACGTGTTCATTATAGGTATCTATGGAGGGAATACTAGGCTGGCTGAATTTAACGAAGTATCTATGGACAGCATTCTGAAGTAAAGGAAATGAGCGACGTAGGTTGTGTAGTTTTAAGTTCAATAAATACATAGCTGTTAAACTGATCGCTGTAATCTGTGACACCTGCTCGTTCGGATGCTACATACAGTTAATTACAATGGGAAAGCAAGTTGTGACATGTGTGTTGTAATTGGTCGGTGCCTTGACGGAAGGATGATGTTTCCAAATAGTGAACGTACGTTGCGAACTGATGATAGCTTTTGTCAGAGGCTTGAATCAATTTACGATCAAGGGCATTCTAATTTCGAAACACGTGCCATTAATATGATTTTAACATTCTCTTTAGATCCAATGCACATGGTATAATTAAGTGTAACGGAGCAACTAGTCATTCTATGGATAGATTTCTCTCACAAAGGACTTAGAAACATGAAAAAGTCTGTAACTGTGAATATAAATAAGTTAATATCAAGTTGTGTGGCATATAGTCCTTCAGACTTTCAGCGTAAATGTCGGACATTAGAGTTCGTCTCAGTATGGAAAGCGATAGTGTCGATTGTCTCTTCTGTGTTTAAGCCTCGTAATTCTTAAACATTGTTTACCACAACCATTGTACCTGAATTTCAAGCGTTCAGTATTGGCGAAGTATTTGTTAGCGCATTCTAGATTACATAGCAGCGCAAACAGATTCGGTCAGAAATGATTTATTTAATTTTCTTAAGAAATATGAATGGTATTGTGGACCTGGAAACTTAGTTTATAACGTGCATTTCTTGAAGCACCTCCTTGATGACGATCATGCACATATAGATTTAAACCCTTTTTCCTCCTTCCCATTTGAGTCTTATATGAGGAAGATTAGGAAGTCAGTGCATAGCAGTTATGCTGTAGCAAAGCAAACTGCTCAGATGTATGCCGAGATATCTTTCTGTGGTAGGCTGCAAGCTAGTATATTCGCCACTAATTTACAAACAGTCGTTAAGTCTGACCCCGGAAACCAAACAATTATCTGTAAGAAAACTAAAATAAATTCATTTAGGCCGCATAATGTAATAATAGTACACGAAAAACCTGTGCTAGTCACTGATATAAGGAAAAATGGACTAATTAGATTTAGACTATTCAACGACCCATGCGATTATTTCGACGAACCATCCCCTTCTAATAATATAGGAATATCTATGCGCTCCATAGTTAGTCATGAGCAAACATAAGTTTCCATTAATGATATCGACTGTAAATGTATCACCATTAAATATGTTAATAATGTGGTAATTATTCCATTGGTACATAGGTTCATGTGAATAATTTTTTCAAGTTCCTGTTGATAGTATTACTTTAAACTATTTCCTTACCTTTTATATACTGTTTAGCCTGCTAATAAGCAGTTTGTACATATGGACGCACCAAGCTGAAAGCAGGTTCTAACTGTAGCTAAAAAGTGGATTGTGTGTAATCAACTTTGTTTGTAGATATGCACCTGCAGGAGAGTGCCCGAACAGATGACCATTGGCGAGTCTTGAAGTGCAAGGTCATCCGCTACTGTAGTAATTTACAAACATAGAAACGATCATTTCCTATAGATAGTTTCCAGAATGCGAAGGACGTATTGGTTTTGTCCAACAACTTTGCTGGTTACTGTGTCAGCAGTTTTACAGACAAAAACATTGCCACTAAACGAAGAGAAGCCGAAAAGGTCAGTACAGTAATCTCATTAATATTTCGTAGAGGTGCATTGAAATGGAAAGAAATGTTTCTGTACAATCCCATTGACATGGATGTGGCCAAACGTTTTTTAAACCATTATGCACACTAGCATATCGCTTTTTGTCTTCGTCCGTCGACGAAAAACAACTTGGTAAACTGCATGACATCGGAACGCAATGGTATTTTCACGACATGATGGACAAAATGTGTGTCGTCGAAGGAAACAAGAACATGTATGTACTAAGTTTAAGTTATGACTGCTCATTTCTGTTCTGTAGGTGGAGCGTTCAGTATTAGAGAACATAACCTTAAATCACACTTCGGGTTAACCGTTATTTAACAAATTACGGCAGTTTGACATCATTGTAAATTTTAGTGTTTATTACACTTCAGAATTTACATGGAGATTATTTTCGGTTCGGAATAGTAACGCCACAGTTTGAGAAAGACGTTATTATCGAAATGCTTTTCTTTTTATCTCTAACTTATTTTTTAATAAGGCTTTTTCTTACCGTGTGCAAAATTCACGACTTGCATTTGAAACCCGTAAACAAATGAAGTTTACGTTGCGTAAGCCTGCTTGGTTTTACATGCACTTATCAATAGCGACACATTCTTCACTAATAACCTATTACCTGTAGTTTATTTAGCAGATCTTCGTAAATGATATTAGCACTTGGCATTTACGATGAAAATACAAAACGATCGTTGCTCGTGTGTCTGTCACTAATATCCTTCTACAGTATAGTGTTTTTTCTTGTCAATAAGTGTCTTCAACCATGTGTCACTTTTTAACGTAGTGGATTGCAGTCAACACATGGTTTATTAAGGGAATAAAGGTGAACAGAAAACATTTGAGGTTAGGCAAAAGGTGGCCAACGAAGCATGTAATCAAGTATGCAGTTAAAAAATAGGCGAGTATTTAGGGGGAATGAGGCAAGTCAGTATGGATCGAAGTAAAAATTAAACAATTCAGAGACGTTTCAAACAGAGCGATAAAAAAGGGAAATTTTGGATTATTTTCCCGTGACAAGAGAACAAGGAATTTCGACGTTTTCTTGCTAGTTCTCTTTACTTCTGATGGAATGTTTACTTAAATTACTCCTTGTTAGTCTTTACTTTTCTCCGTTTCACAATATAAGTTATTTCCACCTAATGGGTGTCCATAGGCACAGAAATTACGGCTTTTATTGACAGGAATGAACAACTCAAGTTTACTATCTTGGGGAAATTTTGAGGGAAAACCCCAGTGTTATAAGATTCCTCCGGAAATATTGCGGAAAACACTAACTTTCCCAAAACCTTTGAAGATCTTCCCTAAACCTGGGAATATCTTGTGAGCTTTGAGCCATTTTCAAAGCTTTTTACAGCAATTTCTCCAAAATTTAATCAAACCGGAAAAAATTTACCCCAAAATGGGGAGATCGGGAATAGTCGAGACCGAGAAACAGGGGGAACAATAATTAACTGCACTGGATAAAGTTGCAGTGTCAAAGCCTAATAATAGTGAATCAAGATTAAAAATCTGATGGAATCCACTGAGACTAAATATCTCCAACATTTAGTAATGCCTAACCTCTTTTAGTTTTCCTGGCACTCGACCTTAAACATTAAAAAAGCCGCTACATCTTTAAATCCCCCAATATTATTTGACATGAGCTTGAATGAACCGATTGATTCAGCGTTTTTTTATTCTCGTTGCTTTGGTACAGTTTCAGGTAATTGGTAATTACCAACAGGTGGTAGTCTAGCCACACATCTACACTGAAGACGCCACTATTTGGAGTTTGACAACACTTTGTAGTCGTAAATAAATCCCCAAAATAAATAGCTCTGTAGGTTTTCGACGTTGGATGTTGACCACATATTTTCATGGACTCACCTAGCTGAAGGCGCTCGGTCATGCATCCGCACGAGATCACGAGTATGAACGCTCAACATCTACTGCGATCGCTAGCCAGATTAGATAAGACGATTCTCGATATATTGATAGTCATCAAATATATCTTCTAATCTCCTCGATTCCGTCTTTTGATTTCTTTTGGTGGGTACGAATTGTATTAGAAGGTGTTACTGGTTAAACCGTTGTCAAACTCTGAATACTTGTGGCATCTTCAACTTTAACCAGCAAAACCTTCTATAATGGAATCATGTTTGCTGCAAAACCAACTGTAGTCAGTTTGGTAGTTATTTGTGGATTTTTATATCTTGTAGCATAAGCGAGTGCGTTTGTCTCGTGCAGTTGGGTACGTGGCACATTAATTTGAATGCTGGGGATCTGCTAGGCAACATCACCATTCTCTTGACAGGTCTGCGAAAATATTGTCATCAACCCAGAAAATAGGAAGTTCTGAGACGAACGAACAAATAAAGACGCTCAGGAAGGTAAAGAGAGTCTTCAACAACTTACTGTCGATGGAACATGCATCGAAACTAGTGAAGATATGCAGAAACTCAAAGCCGCCATAACATCGACAGTGTTCGACTCTCTGATAAAACTTATGTTCCCTAGATACAGGCTTCCTAACTGCACCTGAAGTCTCAAAACTGATCGAATATTACAGCTGAAAATGCTAAACGTACCGGCCTTTGTAAGAAAATTAGTCAGCAAATTGATCGTGCAGTCTACTCTTAACATTGTACAACTAGTCAGCAGATGACACAGTAATCAAGAATACAATCAAACCGCGAAAAATAGAGGATACCAACTTAAAATTACTCAAAAACCTGGGAAAACGATCACGCTTTGAGAATGTTTTTTCGTAATCTTGAACCTTGGAGATATCTCTGACCTTTCTGTCAATTAGTCTTCAGTCTTCAGTAATAAGTATATGAGGTCTATCGACCTATATTAATCTTTGCAGTTTGTAATACAGTGGAGGTCCAATCTCGTTTTGAATATATTAACAGATGGTGCTGATATTACGTGTTCCGGTAGAGAATTCCAGTAATTCACTACTCGATACGAGAAGCAAAACTTCAGACGTAAACGACTTGATCTCGGTTCTTGAACTTTCTTCGAATGTCCTGTCAAGTGATCAGTCCTGGACGGAAGTAAAAGATAAGACATATTAATACCAAGGTCATCGTTCGGTATACGATAAGCCAGTATTGGATCACCCCGTATTCTACGGTAAGATAACGGAAGTAAGTTGAGGTATCGGAGTCTGTCTTCATAAGATAGGCCAGATAGACCTTGTACCATCGTAGTATCTCATCGCTGGACTCTTTCCAGCATCTCTGCTTCATACTTGAAACAAGGACTAGCTGCTTGAAGCCCATATTCTAAATGTGGTCGCACATAAATCGAGTTTAATAATCCAAATATTTTATCTAAGTCCAAAATACTTTATAGCCTTTCGCAGCAGCAGAATTAGAGTGACTAGTGGTTTTGAGATCACTGATTAATATGACTCCTAAATCTTTGTAGTTTCCAACTTTGGGTAGCACGAGTCTACCTATTGTGTAGTGATACAATTCATAATAGTTATTTATTTGCATCACTACACTCTTATTAGAATTTACTTCCAGTAACCACCAGTCCAACCATGCCACCAACGAGTAATACTATCCTATCCGACATACTGTGTATGGGTCTCCAAATCTTTATGTCATCAGCGAAGAGGAGAACGGGTGATTTCGCTATAGTTGGTAATTCATTTACATAAAGTAAAAAGAGAAGAGGACCAAGGGTTTTACTTTGGGGGACTCCACTTTTCACAGGTACTCACGAGGAGAGAGTCCTATTTACCCTTACCCTTTGTCTCCTGTCATGCAGAAAGTTACTTATCTAATCTACGACTGTATAATGGATTTCAAAACGTTCCAGAGTGGGAGAGTTTATCGAAGGCCTTACTTGTGTCAATGAAGATCACATTCACAGGAATATTCTGATATTTTGCAGCAGCCCAATTTTCTCTTGCAATCAGAAGATTTGTCAAGAATGATAGGCCTCTCCGAAAAACATGTTGCTCCCAGGAGAAAAGATTATGCCCTTCAACACACCTTATGACAGATATCCGAATGATTTTTTCCATCAGTTTTACAACTGCACTAGTGAAGCTAACGGTATAAAGTTGCTAACTAAATCCCTACTCCCAGCCTTACACACTGGACTTATTGTAGCGTCTTTCCAGTCTCTGGGCAGTCTTGACTGTCTCAGAGACATGTTAAACAGTATCTCTAATGGTTCAGCAATTACATCTGATATGGCTTTCATAATCCTAGGATGAATATCATCAGGACCACTGGACTTATCGGGCTTGAGATGCCTTAAAACATTACCTTTCTCAATGACTACAGGGTTCATCAACAGGCCGCCGCGATCACAAAGAATCGTTTGTCGTTCCTCATTGCTAACAGAAGACACTTTACTGAAATAAATCGATAAAGCTTCACCTTTTTGTCATCATCTCTTGCCAATATTAACAAATTTTCTTGTATCAAATGTGATGGAATTTCACTTTTCTGGGTTCGCGTTTTTATATACGAGAACAACCGTTTTCTTATATTTTTACAATCCCTAAACAATTGTTTCTCATACGATTATCTAGTTTTATTTATTAACGCTTCACAAGCATTCCTAATCGCACGGTAACTGGATCTGTAGTGTTTTAAGCCAGTAGAGATGATCATGTTTCAGTGCTTCTTCTTTTTTCTAAGAAGTTTCCTGACTGTTTTAGTTACCCACGGTGGACTGTTATTCGGTCTTCGCTGTACCAAGTATGGTGTGAACGAGGACGTAACTAAACCAAACTTATCTTTAAATACAGACCGAGCTTCTTCACTTGATAAGCTAGTATCTAAAAACCAATCTGTCTCATCAGCGCATTCCTGAATGACTGATATGCTAGCTTTCTATGCATTTGTGTGGGGTGTTATTTGATCGTATAAAATGTCCCTAGTTCTAAACGTGAATGACAAAACAGCGTGATTGCTGTTCACTAACGGTGGAAGAATATTTAGGTCGACAATATCGTCGGTGTCATGAGTGATTACCAAGTCCAACAGAAAAGAACCTTGGTTAGCACCAAAACGTGTCGATTTGGGTACATGCTTCACTAG